TTAGCCATTTCGATTTGAGATTCATTACTGCCTTATAACCCTGAATGATTTAACTGCAACACCTCAATTATAATCTTATTAAGATTGATTATCAACTCTTCTTTTAGGCACATAATACTTAGGAAACTGGTTTTGCTTTAAAGCATCAATCGTCCATCTTCAAAGCCACGCTTTATCTTAGGCTCTCCTTTACTTTTAGAACAAGTACAATTTATCAAAATTCCTCATTCAATAATCTGTCATTATTTGATACCCAGCAATCGCATATTTAAAACTTGCGTTTACTATTTTCCGTCTATGGATTAAAGTTGTTGTGCTTACTTCCATTTCGAGTGACAGTCTTTGGTGAAGAGATTCGAAGGTCGATTCCACCAGAAGACGACGGCGGATGCCTCTTGACCAGCTGTCGATTGGCTTCACTGAAACATTCATGCTGATGCTGGTTCTGAGGTAATCTTCTTCGATTCCGGTCAAAAGCGGCTAAGCTTTCGTCCGTCATAGCCCCTTTTCACCGAAATTGAAGGAGATTGCCTCGGAAACAACGTCAGCATGAATGTCCCAGTAAAGCCAATCGACATCTGGTCAAGAGGAATCCGCTGTCGTCTTCTGATGGAACCGACCTTCAAATCTCTTCACCAAACACTTTCACTCGAAATGGAAGTAAGCACAACAATTTTAAAACAAGAGATTCTTCGAAACCCAACTTTTCTTCGCATGGATTAAAGGTTTCTTTAACTCTATATTTATAAAAATTATTGAATCAATTAATTTAGTTATCCGAACCTGAATAATAAGTTATCATCCAACACAAGTCAGCTCAAGCTGGCTTGGTACCTATTTTTTTTATACTTATATTTTTGAGACCTCCAGCAGAACCCAATTAAGAGCTGTATTCTACCTATTTCGATTAAGGTGGTTTAGTTGAATTTTTCTTTAATTCCATGAGTAGGCCTCACGTTTCCATTGAATTTCGCATTGCCTTGTTTCCCAAAGGGTATTCTCGTCCCGGCCTAACTTAACTGCATTTTTGACTTCGCCTGGACGGGTTTCATCAGCACTCCAAGCGGGACTTGAACTCAAGTATGACAGCTTTTAGTCTCGACACGTTAACCACTAAGTCACACTTCCGTGAGTGCCCTTGGGCCACAGAGGCTCGGAGACTCGGGGTTGAATTGAAATCGAACGAGTCAGAGCTTCTTCACAAACCTAGCGGCACGATAGTGGGAGGGGTTTGTTTGGGTTTCGACCTCGCGTGAATGCAGTTCTTCTTACATGAAGGTTCAACCGATAATACCAATGACCAATTGCAGATGCGAGGCGCGAAGAAGTGGGTTGACCCCCATCCCAAGGAACGGTTTATCAGGCAGGCCGATTTGGTTGGGGTTACGACGCTGTAAAGGAGGGCCTTTTGACCCTCGGAAAGCCAAGCTTCGGAACTTACCACGAGCGGTCCGTTAAGGCATAAAGATGCTGTGTAAGCGGAATGTGGCGTTGAGGTTTAGCGGTAAAGCTATCAATGGGTCCACAATGAGCAGGGAGGTGTGCCATCAGACATCGTATACCTGGGAGAGATGACTCCATGAGGAAGTCGATCTAGCCAGGAATTCTTCTTACTAAATACTCTTAAAGTCGACTATTGTTTTGTGTCAAAAAACTGACTAGGATTTGTTTGAGTGGGCATAATACTGTTGGATCTACTGGCAAATTTTCGTCCGATTGACTAAGATATGTTGGGTCGGCAGTCATTGTAAATCAAAGTCTGCGAATGGAGATTGAGGTTTGTTTGAATCTTGAATAGTCTTTCTGCAAAAACAGATGGCTGATGGAATAACGCCTTTGCATGAAATCGTGCAACCGCTTTCGAGTCTTGAGATCTGGAGTCAGTCAGGGTAACAACTGAAGTAGGTTAGGCATTGTGTAATGGGATTAATTCGATATTTTGAGAAAGTGGGGTCGAATCACTTGATATCTTTTAACTAATTTTTGCCACTACAATATTTTCCAACTAGTAATATTCATTTTCAATCTTATTTTGAACTATGTGCATTTTGAAAAAAAAAAAAATATATATATATATAATGCAAAACCCCTTCGGCGAGGAAGATCAAGATAACATGGAGCTTGGTTTTATCGAAGATTAGGTTCTCTCTATAGAGCTGACTCGATGTTTTTTTCGCAACTTATTCTTATTTTCAGCAGACTTTTAAGAACGCATCTCGTTTAATTGTTATAATGCGTATTAAAGTATCAAAACGCTAACTGTGTGCATTCTCAGACTTTTGTCATCATCAACGATAAACACGATCCTCGGCATCGGCTAAAACTCGTCTAAATGCTAGTCTTCATGGGCGTAAATTGGTGCTGTCGATGGCGGTTTCAGTTGGCAACATCTGGGAATTTGCCCAAATAAACTGTCCAACGTCGGAAAAGCCCACGAAATCGATGACATAGCGCAGTATTGGATATATGCTTCCAAGTCTCTGATTAAAAGAGGTCAAACTAGCTCTATAAACTAAGGTATGAAGACCAAGATGGTGTGGCCTTTTGTGTGGTTGCAGTCTCCTTTCGTTGTATAGTGGTTGTT